CTCCCTACAGAAGCGACTTTAAACATCTGGCCTTCACTTTGCAGCTACTGATTTGGTGAAAGCATTTTCTCCATTCAGAAAAACAGGTTTGCCATCACCTGGAAGATAAGTAGCATGAGTCTAAAGTCGTGTCAATTGTCTGGTTCTGGGTCTTAATATACAGCCTGTAGGATTGGCAACCTTTTTCTAAAAAGAGCCAGATGATAAATACCTTGGGCTTTAGCTTGTACGGTTTCTGTTGGAACTACTCCACTCTGCTGTTGATCACCAAAGCAGACGTAGACAATATGCAAATGGATGACTGTGGCTGGGCTCCAACAAAACTTTCTTTAGGAAAGCAGGCTGCAGGCTGGATTCGATCCATGGGCTGCCGCTTACCGATGCCTGATTTGGACTATCAGCATCTATCGGACATCATGCTAGTCCTTTTTTAGAGTGATGACAATGTGCAGACAGGACATGAGAGCAAGAAGTGGCAGGTGCCCTGTCACAGAGGGTAGGAGATATATTCTGAGAAATACAGGGGCTTCCCATCCCACTGAAATTCTAGTGGGATGTTTAATAATTAGAAAAGTGAAGGCCAAGTTCTTAATCTTGAGCTCCTTATCACTAAGAATGAGGCACAATGTTTGGTAAGTTTCTTTGGATTTTGGAGCCATATGTATCAAATTTAGGTAACTAATTTGCCCATTCACTAGGAAACCTGAAAAACAGTCTGTGGCCCCCTGGTTGATTGGTTTATTCACATCAGGCTTTTCTACACTTAAGTGGAGGACATGCCTTCCTTTAGAAGCATGGAAATGGTGGTAGGGATGGTGTCAGATTGGCCTGAATCAAGGCAATTTCTTAACGCCCTCTGTGAGTAACTTATGAGTCAGGTTTCTGGAAGGACTGTGGTGAGTATTACACATCATGAAACCCAAAAAGGTGAACAGGGGTCTCAGATTTCCTCTTGAGCTTAGTAACAGCTTACTTCATCTTGACGTTAAGTGCTTTTTAAGGAGTTTGCTCATTCCAACATGAACCTACCTTCTATTTAGGCAGATTGTCTATAAGCCCAACAGTAGAAACTTAGTTCTATTTGGCTGGCGAAGGATAATAGCAGGTAAGAAAGAGATCAGGTGGAAGAGAAAAGTGTTATAATCAGTGATAGTGTTAAATGCTAACATTTCCCCTTATCACAAAAAGAAACTTAGTGCAAAAAAGTTGAGATAACACAGAAGAGCACAAGAAAAAAAAAACAAAATTCTTTTACTCAGACATAACAACCATTAGCATATGGCTTATTTCAATCTAATGTTTTTCTATACTATGACTATGCATATATATGTGCATGTATTTAAACAAAATAGTATATAAATAACTCATTTATAACCTTCTCTTGAAGTTTGAATTATAGCAAACATTTTTTTCTGTGTGAAAGAATATTCTTATATTACATGACTTTTGACAGTTACACAGAATTTCCTCAAACAGAAAATGTTAAAATTTCTCAACGAGTGACCTATTATTTTACATCAAATAACCAGTGCTTCTTGCAGTGGCTGTCTGTCAGGATAGACAATTTTATGGATATGCTTCCACAACAGGATATCACCATAATGGCTTTACCAAATCACTGCACAGGACATCTCAGGTCAAGAGCTATTCTGTTATTTGAAATAATTAAAATATACTTTTTCTCTGTAGATTTCCTCAATTCCCCTTTTTAGCATTAGTCACAGTAACTAATATTCATGTCATGTTTTAATGTAACCTCCATCAGTTCTGGGAACAGAATTTATGGAGCACTGAATTTTATCTAAAAGGCGCAAAGCTGACTGCAAAACATATCTATTATGATGTCACAGATAAGACTCGTTCATTTGCTAGGTACTTACGGAGTACCTCAAATAAACAGAGCAGTACCTTTCTGTGCTGGCAATATTCCATAAACACCGAGCTTCTAACAATGTACAAGGATACTAAGAAATGAAACTGCTTTTAAAGAGTTTGTTTTCTATCAACCAAAACTAATTGAACAGCAGTACAGAAGATAGCATAAGACTCCAATGATGGGTACAGTCAATGGAGGCTATGATTTTTTTAGAGACTGATCCCTGGAGCAGTCAGAAAAGGGGAAGGACAAAAAGCCTTGAGAGGATTGAGAATATAGAAGTGAGATGGGAGAGTTTTCAATTGAGGCTGGAAGACTTTAATCCTCAGGGGACAGTGAGTGGAGTTCACCAGAGTAGGAGCAAAGTCTGACAGAAAGAGATCTGGTAGGGAGTCCTGGCTGCACCATGAATATCATGGGGTGTGGCCTTTGGGCAATAGAATGATGTAGTAACCTGAACACCTTGATGTGACAAAAGTCAGTTCTTAGTCTTAAGTCCTCTGAAACTCTTCTGTAAGACTAAATTATGTTGGAAGTTAAAATTGTTTACTCATCATCACTTTATTCCTGCTCTTTGATTAAGATCCACATGTAGTAACTGGCTCTATATTAAATAGTCCAGTTATAAATTCACAGGTAGAATTTGCACAATTAAGTAAAAAATCTCCAGTAATTGAACCAGAAATTTTTCCTAAAATGACACTATCAAGACAATGTGTTAAATGCAGTGAAGTTTCTCTTCCTTTATGTGAGGTACACATACTACAAAGGCATTAACTGGTTATTGAACTTAGGGTATTTGTACAATTGAGTGTTAATTATTTTTTAAAGCAATCCTTGTACAAAATAAAAATGTAAACAGTGCAGAAAAGTAAAGAGTGGTAAGAAGTCCCTCTCAAATCTCAGGCTTTGTGTTTCTCTCCACAGAGCCTGAATGTCATTATTTTCTTGTATATCCTTCTAGGCACACATATTTATATACATACACACATAAACTATCTGTATACATACATATATATCTATATATACTACATACATAATGTAGCTTCTTGAGGTATATTATACATATGTGTGTATATATAAATATTTACCATAGGTTTAACAAACTGAAAGGCCTGTGGTATATAGGAAGTGCCAGAGAGCCATGCATGTCTTTGCTTTTGCACACTGGTTTGCACTTCGCTTTTTTCATCTAGTAATATGGAGATTGTTTCACAGCACATACACAGCAGAGCACTTCATTCTTTTCAATGATACTGTATTTTAAACACTTCCTACAGATGGATCTTAAGGCTGTTGCCAGTCTTTTGTTACTATAAACAGTGCTCCAACAAAGTAGCCTTACACAGCGTGAATGTATCTGTAACACAAATGTCTAGATGAGGAACTGCTGGGGAAAACAGTATAGGTGTATACAATTCCACAGAACTCTGGTCTGTAGTGTAACATTTCCTTCCAAGAGCTGCACTGTTTGTGCTCCTGCCAGCAAAGCCCACGGAGGCCTACTTCCCAAACTCGGGACAACTCTCCAGTCTACCCGTTGGAAGGGTGAAAACGGGCATCCCAATTTAAATTGCATTTCATCTAAAAATGTGTTGCTCTGTAAGTTCTGAACGATTTTGAATCAAGCTTTTCTCTGTAATTTGGCAAAGAAGCTTCATCCAGGAAACTGAACCAGGGACAGATACTCCTGGAAGGTGATAAGCTGAGATGAATAAATGAATAAAGGTGAGAATAAATACAAAGCAAAAACTCCTTGAGACTATCTGCTCAGTGACGGGGATGGAAGTAGTGTTTAGTTTTTTGCTTTGTGACTCCTCTCCTTGTTCATTTCCATCAGGAGCCTTAAAAGTCATGAGCGACTCTGAAGGTGTGATGTGCTTGAGCTTCGCTTGAGAAAAGCAGGGCAAGAGAGGGCTTGTCTGCCTACTTCACATCAAATCCCAGGTTCCTCTCCTTTCTCCCTAGCAGAACTGGCAATCTGCTGCATCAGGAAGAGTAACAGAGAAATAATGGGGGGAAAACAAAAATTTAAGGTCTATTTGATGTGGGAGAGCCTTACAGACAGCAGCGTTTTGCTTCACTATTTCTTGCTATTTCTGCGTTTCATTAACTGGCAGGAATCACTGGGAACCCTGCCCTTTACAAGGTACGTGTAGTTAGGGAAACTCAATGTCAATTGAATGTGTGTTTTAAGAGCTATTTTTTCTATTTAGAGAAAATTATAGTATGCTTTGAGGCACGCTCTGTTCGCAAATTTTTCAGCCCCCCAGCCCTAACCCAATCCCATTCATTTATTTCGAGGAAGTAAGTGGATGTGCAAAACAGCAATATTATGTTTGCACATGAGATTCTCAAATCAGGCTACTGAATGTTGGACACGGAGACCTGTACTTACACAGAAGACGTTCCCAAAAGGGAGAAAAACATAAAACCTTCCCCCACTCCCACCCAGCCCAGAAAGAAATCTTGACCCTTTCTCCCAAACGTTAAGAAAAATCTGTATTATTGCAAAAATAGAGCTCTAACCTCATTGGATCCTATTGTATTCTCTTTTAATGTACTTTCTATGTTAAAAAGTGAGGAACGAGGTTTAATGAGGTTAACACCGAAGTGCAAAGAGCAAATTTAGATTTGGGCCCCACGTTAGGTTCCAGATTTGCACATCCATCCCACCCCTAACAAATCCGGGGGAAGTCCCCGCTCTCCTGTTCAGTTGTTTTCAAGCCCCCGTTTTTTAAAACCCCCAATCCTGCCCACCCGCCGTCCTGCCCTCTGTTAGCTGTTTCGGAGTTGCCCCTTCGCAACCTTCTGATTTCGGCTAGGAAACCCCGCGGCGGTGCCCTCGGGCCGCCCGCCGCTCCCTGCTCCCGCGCCCATGCCCCGGGCTGGCCCTCCGCCCCCGCCCCGAGCCCGACCAGGGCGCAGGGTCCCTCTCCAGCGCCCCCTCCCCGGCGCGCTGCGGCTGGCGCTCCCCGGTGCCCCGCCTGACGCTGCAGCCGGGCCGGCGATTCGCCATTGGATTAAAAATAGCAGCGTCCCTCCGGCCCCCCCCAGCCCCGGGCCCCCGGTGCCCGCTCCCGCCCCGCGGCCCGCTCTCGCCGCCCGCCCCGGCTCGGCTCTCGTCGCCCGCGCAGCCCGCCGCCGCCGCGGGCCGACCCAGCGCTCCGGCTCGGCTCGGCTCGGCTCGGGGGCGCGCCGCGGCCATGCAGCGCCGGGGCGCCCTGTTCGGCATGCCGGGCGGCAGCGGCAGCAGGAAGATGGCTGCAGGAGACATCGGCGAGCTGCTGGTGCCCCACATGCCCACGATCCGCGTGCCCAGGTCGGGGGACAGGGTCTACAAGAACGAGTGCGCCTTCTCGTACGACTCCCCCGTAAGTGAGGCTCGGCGGCGCCCGGGGCAGGGTCGCGGTGCCAGCGGCCTGCACTCGGGGGCACGTGAGGCGGGGGGCCGACGCTGCGCAGTGGCAGCCCGGGACCTCCTTCTCCGGGCGGCGGAGTTGGTTCAGGGGCTCTGCAGTTCGGCAAACACTTAGGGAGCGCCTGCTGGGTGCCCGGCGCCGCCTCCCCCAGGGCTGCTGCGGCCGCGCACCGGGTCGCCGCGGGGTTTGCTCGGCCAGCCTTCCTAGGCTGACAGGGCCCCGGTTCCCGGCTGCCCGCCCCCAGCCCCGCCACCGTTTGAAAGACAGACGGAATCAGAGTTCCCTGATCGTAACTGCGCGGTGCAGACGGTTTGCATCCTCCCTGAGGCGAGAGCAGAGGGCGGGTAGGTGCACCGGATGGATCCCCCACCCCGCCCTCACCACCCACTCCAGACACACACAGCCTTTCTTTTTCCGCGACCGTTTGCTTTGCCCAGGGATTTCCACTTCTGGACAATTCTGATTTCCTCCATGAGCATTTCTTTCTCCACTTACGTTCCTCCCCACTCCCTTTTCCGTGAGAATGTCAGGAGAAACCTTCGGCTGCCTCCACTTGGGCAGCAGATATAGGAGGGCTACTGTATTATTATGGTTTGCTTAAGCCTTTCCGCTACCCCCTCTAAACGAGTCACTTGGACTGAAATGCATCAGTATAAATTATTAAAAGTTCAGTCGTGAGTCGTGACCTCAGAGACTGGAGGTGGAAGTTAAGTCAGATCACCACCTTCCTCCCAAAGTGGTTGGCGGTATTTTTCACCAGGTGGTATTTTATATGTGTGAGAAGGAAAAGGAAGGTGAATGTCCCTTTTAAGAGTCAAAATGGGCTTCAAAGTGACTCAGCTGTCAGGCGTTTATCATGTCTTTTTGAGGAGTAGGTTATTTTTATCCACCCACTTTAGATCTCATGTGTCACTCAGCAGATCTCAATGCAAACGGGAGGTGTATGGATTGGAGGGACTGAGGCAGGTTTCACAACAATAGTCTAACATTTTATTCATATTATGTAGAATACTGTTGGAGGAAAAAAAAACCCAAATGAGAGGCAGATTTTCTAAAGTATCCTTTATTGTCTTCTGGTTTGATTTTGGCTGATTTCAAAGCATTTTTGTTTGGGATACACTGGAGTCCTGTAATTGGTATCCTCTCTTTTATATTTAGTTTTTCTTTTATGCTAATTCCAAATAATTTGGGGGATGAGACTCTCACTTATTCATTACTTATTTTTTTCTTTCAAAAAGGTCTGTGTAAGTGGAATGAAATGGTTGTATTTAATGTTTAGCATACTGTGATCACACTCCTTAAAGGACTGTCAGCAGTGTCATTAAATCCTATTATCCACAAAGTATTTGAAAATGCCATTTTCAGATTTTGTGTCAAGTATTGGGCAGATTTCTACTAATGGCTCCTAAGGTTGTAGAGGGATGATGGTCCTAAGTAACTTATGCAGTTGACAGATTGTGAACTCCAAGAAGAAGAAAGAGGCCTATGCTTTATAGGATAGCACAGCATGTGAAGTGGGTAAAACTAATTTTTCTATGTTTGATCTGGGCTGCTCTTCAAATTCTTACAAACTTTGTTACTGGAAATCTTTACCAAACTGTAGTATATGGCAGGTGGGAAAAAAACGCTAATTATTTCAATTCCACAAACAGTTATTGGGAGCTTATTGTAGTGCGAAACACTATTCTAGGAGCATCTTGTCCAGTGTGAAATGATGATTTCATTCATGTCACAGTAGTTCCTTTGGGGAGACTGGGCTTACTTACAAGGCCAATGAGTCAATATATTTTATTGTCTAGATTTCAGTGGGGGAAGAGAAAGAAGGTTTTATAACAAATTATATTAGATCAGAATGCATGACAATGCGTGATCTTTCCCTATGGTACTTACCACTTGATCATGAATCCTTAGGATTCTTGGGTACCTACTATGTGCCAATTCCCGCATGCATGGATATAAGAACCATAAAGAGCAAAATGCATTGGTGCCAAAGATACCAGAGGTAATCCACAGGTGCCACAGGACTATGGTAGAGAAAAGACCGAAACCATCTGAACGGAAAAATAATCATCCTTGCCTTAGATGCTTTTGAAAATGGTCATAGATAAAGATGGATAAAAATGACGTGAACACCTGTGCTATTCTTCACCTTTGTGGGTCTGAGTATTGAGTGAAACAGCATGATTACTCATTTCAGTGCCCCTCTCCTTCCTTTCTTCCAGCTTTCCAGGGTTTAGCGCAGAGCAGATGCTAGTGACAGTTCTTCTGGGATGAGGGAGAATTTGTTTTTTTCACCTACAAATTTGAGTTCATCCCAGGCCCATCTTCCCACCTTGGCCTATAGGTTCACTTCTCCATAATTTGATTGATTTTGCAAGGTCTATAATGTGACCTTCCTCGAGAGTGGGGACTTTGCATCTTTGTGTCCCCAGCAGCTGGCCCAGCATCTGCTATGTATACTGAGAACTCAGCAAATGTCTGGGAAATGGACGAATTTCATGTAGTTAAAGGTTCGGAAAACCTATCCTTACATTTTTTTAAACATCTTTTTTATCCCTTTTTAATCTCTTTTTTATCCTTCCCATAAAATATGTGGGAAACATTGGGAATGGAATCATATGGGATTATCATGTAGACTGTGGTAGCTTCATTGATAGTGGGGAACAAATGTGAAGGGGAGAGCTAGATGGACATGTTTGAATCCCAGCTGTGTCACTTAGCAGTGTGATTTCTTCGTATCTCAGTTTCTCCATCTGTAAAATTGGGACAAAAAAGCTACTATGTAAAGTGTGCCCAGCCAATTAGCAATCCCTGTAGGAAAAAAGAGATAAATAGATTCAATCATGGGTTGTAAGCTCAATTGGTTGGTTATCAGGGGCTATGTAGAAACTTTTGTGCGCATAAGTAGAGAATTTGGTTCACACTTTCTCGCAAACCTTCCTGGACCACCATGTGACATCTACTCTGATCTGCTTGGTTGTTGAGCCTGTCTTTCATCTGAACATGCTTTGTCCCTGCAAGTGTACTTTGTCCCACCCCTCCTCAGGTTCTAGGTTGCAGCTCTAGGGAGGCCAGTCTTGGGTATGCAAAGTCTGAGATTCATTTCCTTTTCTAGGACCTCCTTCTTGAGTTGATTATCTTTCAGAGCTCTTTCTCAGACTTCCCTTTCTGCTTCAGGCTTCATCCTTTCCTCTGAAGCCTGCATTACCTGGGTCTGACAGCACAGCAGCTAATTATTGTCTATCTGCCTTAGTTTGCCATCATTTCATTTTTTTTTTACACATTTAACTGGTAGTTTTAAGACATTTCCTAGGTGTAAAATCTTATATCAAGCATTAGGTGTAGAGAGGAGCTGGCCCCTCATGCTAATTCTGCCCCTTCCGCACCTGTCTGAGGGTGGAGAGCTTATCATAAGATTATGCCTCATCTTAGCTGGGGTCAGCTGAGACCGAGACAAGGGCTTCGGCACACACAGTTTGTTTTGGATGGTATCCCAGGGCACAGAAGTGCAAGAACGTCCAGGGAAGTAGTGACAAAGGGAGGAAGGAAAGCCAATCTAAGACTGAGCTGTGGAGCTGGCTACCACTCTGGGCCACTGGTGCTCAGTCCAGCCAGCAACTCGGCGGAACTAATGCCCCTCAGCATTGTCCACCTGGGACACGGAAGAGGAAAGTATTTTTCCACAGGCTTCTACGGCCTGTTGGTTAGGGGTGCTCCAGGGATGAAACATGCTCACTCTTCCAGGTGGGTGTTTGTGTAGGAGAGGCTGAGCAGGCTCCTGAAGCCTCCTGCAACTAGCAGCAGCTGAGAATGGAGAGACCCTGGGTGCAGAGAGGCTAGGACATCACACCTGCTCTGGCAAGCAGCTGCACACATCCAACATGAGGATGTGAGACCTGGATGAGCAGTGCCTCGCACCCTTCTCTTCCAGCTTCAGCACTATTCTGTAAAAAAGGAGGTTCTTTCTATTCTCCGGAGCTCTGTGACCTCTTGGTGATGTTGAGATGTTACTGTTGGTCCTCCACTCTCCTGGGAGTCTTTGGAGAACTCTGGTGGGCAGGGGCCTCATGGTAGTGGCTGGGTTAGTTATCCATTGGGAAGGGCCTTGAGATCATCCCCTTGTAGGAAAGCCTCATGGTAGGGGCTCAGGACCACCGTGCTAGGCATGCTGTCCTCCAGGCAGCAGACTTGTCACCATGGTGCTTACCTGTTGGGGAAAAAATGATTTAATTTAGGATCTATGTGGAAAAACCCTCCTCCTAATGGATAAACAGATAGAAGAGAGTAAAGCAAAATTTAGGAACTTGCAGTTTTTTTTTTTCTTTGAAGATGTAAACTTAAACTAAGTCTAGTTAGTTTCACATAGCGAAAGCAGCTTCCAAAAAACTTTTCCCTTCCAAAAGCAGCTAACTAAATGTTCTTTAATAGCAATGATTCTCAAGCTTTTTGGTCCCTTTATGCTCTTAAATATTTTTGAAGTCTCCAAAGAGCTTTTGTGTGCTTTTTATCAATAGCTGTTTACCATACTGGAATATATGACTGAGAAAACTTTAAAACGCCTTCCATTCCATTAGCTATTGGGGTGACGATCTCGTCAGATGTCATATGCACACTGTAAGATGCCACTGTCTGCTCGTGAGAGAATGGGAGTAAAAAAGGCAAACAAGTTTGTGTTATGAAAATAGTTCTGACCTTGAAGATCACTTGAAGGGTTTTGAGTCAGGACAGGGATCCCAGGCAAACTTTGGAAACCAAAAATTCTGGAGTTTAGGCAAGAAAAGTACAACTGGTTACTCCAGGGACATCTACAGCTACACTGTGGCTTTTATGGATTCACATTTTCACATTTGTTGTGATTGAATAATTGGTTGTTAATCTTAGCTTAACCATAGATGTCATATGTTGCATGTACATTCTTTTTGAAGCTGATTTATAGAATTTGACTTCTTTTG